AAAACAACTTAAAGGAAAAAAATAAAAATAAAAAGTATTTATACATACTGAAGTGCTACTCTGCCATAAGGTATAGTTGAGTCATTCGTGAAAAAATGGATGCATAACTTCTCTAAAATGAGAAACCCAAAGTATGAATAATTTTTAAAAAACCAGTTGGATGTGGTGTTAAATGCCTATAATCCTAGCATTTGGGAAGCTGAGGCAGAAAGATCACCATCTGAGGCCAGGCTGGGCTACATATCAATTTCAAGACCAGCTTGAACTTCATAGTGTGACTTTGTCTCAAAAAAACAACAGTGAATAAAATAAAAAGCTGAGTGTGGGCTGGTGAGATGGCTCAGTGGTCTAAAGCACCTACTTAGAACAAACAGACCAGGTTCAATCCCCAAGCACCACATGCCAGCCAGCCCTGCCCCCTGGTGGGCTGAGCTGGCCGCGCGCGCGTGCGCGTGCGCGCGCGCGCGCACACACACACACACACACACACACACACACAAATAAAAAGCTGAGTGTGATGATGCATATCTATAATCTCAGCACTTAGGAGGCTAAAGCAGGAGGATCAACACAAATTCAAGGCCAGCCTAGGCTCCATAGTGAGTGCAAGGCCAGTCTGAACTAGTAAGATCTGGTTGCAAAATAAATAAATGTTAGACAGTAGGAAATAGATGATTCTGCAGCTGGGGAGACAAGCCCTCTTCTGTGAAAGTTCTTGGAAACTGATGAAAATGCTATCAAATGGTTATTTGGGAAAAAAAAAAAAAAAAGGATGTCAGCAATAATTCTTTGGGGTTTTTTTTTTTTGGGGGGGGGTCACTCAGAATGCCTTCAGGGCAGGTCTGGTTTGGCTTGAGGATGAGGGGATGAACCACAGCATCCGGAGCCTGACTGCTTTGTTTCAGCAGGCACTTAAACACCTGAGCTGATGGGCAGGCCCCTGTCAGCAGTAATTCAGAACCAACATGCCTAACTTTAGTCTGAAATTTTTCTTTTTTTTTTTTTTTTTTTTTTTTTGGTAGAACCAGGGATTGAACTCAGTCCCTTGCTCTTGCCAGGCAACCACTTATTCTACTGAGCCATCTCCCTGGCCCTTAACCTGGAAGTTTTCAAAGAAATGATTGTACTGGGCGGAGGAGATTGCTCAGTGGCATAAGTGCCTACCTGGCAAGTGCAAGGTCCTGAGTTCAATCTCCCGTACCAGTAAATAAATAAAATGGTTATACTAATTAGTGCATTAATTACTAGTAGTCCTAAAAAGTCAAGCCGGGAGTAGTGACACACACTTGTAATCTCAGTTCTTAGGAAGCTGAGGCAAGAGGATTGTAGCGTTTGAGGCCAGCCTGGGCTACAAAGTGAGCTCAAGGCCAGTCTGAACTGTATAGCAGATCATATCTCAAAATAAAATAGAAAGATCTAGGGAGGTAGCTCTGTACAAATGATATAGGAGAGATACAACTCCCAACCTGCTAGATATCAGATGTACCAAGTTTGTGTCCCTTGAATATGAAGACAGAACTCCAAAGGATGAAAGAGGTTAAGAGTAGGAATATTTTATTAAGAGATAGCAGAGCCGAGGAGATAGCTCAGCAGCATACACGCCTGCCTGGCAAGTGCAAGGTCTTGAGTTCAATCACTGGTACCCAAAAAGAGAGAGAGAGAGAACTCTTAAAAGACAGGAGGGGTTCTCAAGTGGGTTGTCACCAAGGGTCTTTTTGGATTTTTTTTTTTTTTTTTTTTTTTTTTTTTTTGTCTTTTTGAGACAGGATCTCGCTATGTACTTCAGGCTGGCCTTGAGCTCTCTTTGTAGCTCAGGCTGGTCTCAAAGTCACAATGATCCTTCTGCCTCAGTCTCTAGAGTGCTGGGATTACAGGCATGTGCCACCACACCCAGCTACCTAGGGTCTTTGTAAGGGATAATTTTTACAGCAAAGTCATAACATGAGTGCACAACAGCTTGAGCTATAATCAAACAGTAAGATTCCATGTATAGCTACTTAACTAGTTAAGAAACCAGGGCACATAGCAAGGGTACATGGCTAATATCATTAACCTTGACTTACCTATGACTTCTAAAACAGGAACTTTTTTTTTAAGGTTCCAGAGATCAAACTCAAGACCTTATGCTTGCCAGGCAGGCACTTATGCCCCTGAGCTATCTTCCCAGCCCCTAAAACAGGAATATTTTGACCACATGTTCAGGCCTGGTGTTTGATGCTTATCTGGACTTAATGGACTGGGTGGTACCACTTACTGTATAGTCTGAAATTCTGCATAGCCCTTAGGGAACTATGTAAGTCTGGCCACTGTGACTTTATCTTGAGATCTTGCCTTCAGATGCATGTCCAGCCCCAATTCTGGTACAGTGTATTTTCACTGCTTCCTTCAGAGCCCAGACCCTCTCTGACTGTATATTAATTTCTGTGTAACTTCCCTGTCTGTAATGGTGAGTTGCATGACGAAAGTGCTACAAGAACACAGGGAGTTGTGCTGTAAATGCTTCTGGGAATTTTTTTGTTTTTTGTTTTTGTTTTTTTTCAGAACCAGGGATTGAACTCAGGCCCTTGCACTTGCCAGGCAAGCGCTTATTCTACTGAGCCATCTCCCTGGCCTGGCTTCTGGGAATTTTTGTGTGTGCAGTGTTAAGGATTGAACCAGGGCTTGTGTATAGTAACCAAGTGCTCTACCACTGAGTTTATATCCTCAGCCCTTATGGTTTTTTTTCAGAGGGGTGTGTGTTGAGACAGGGTCTCACAACTTGGATAGGATTCTTTTTATTCTTTTTTTTTTTTTTTTAAATGTATTTGGTACAGGGTCTCACTGCACAGGTTGGACTCATACTGATCCTCTTGTTTTCAGCCTCTCCAGTGCTGGAATTATAGGCATGCACCACCACACCCGGAACTGGCTCAGTGCACCTAGAGGCAGGGCTGGCTCAGCATGTGGTGCTGGGGATCAATTCTGGTCCCCGCTCTTGCCTAAGCAGGCACTTAGTCCACTGAGCTATCTTGCCAGCCCTAAAAAGAATTCTTCTGTTTCAGCCTCCTGAGCTGATAGATTTTTTTTTTCTGAGACAAGGTCTCACTATGTAGTTCTATTATAGACAGCTAAATTGAATAGAAATATTATAGACAGTCAGATGGGGCCAGGCCCTTAAAAGAAGCCAGTGCAAAAAATCAGAACACATTACAGCTATGAATGGTAGAGCATTTAATGAAGGCCAGACCTAAAGACAAAGATGGAATGACTACACCTACATACTTCCTGAGGGATAAACAATAATGATCAATATTTTATATAGGTATCAGTCACCTGGGGACCAAGACTTCCTTCACCCATTCTTCCCTGTAAAGGCCCTTTTTTTTCCATGTACACTTTATTTTTTTATCTTTTGAGACAGGGTCTCACTGTGCAGCTCAGGATGGCCTTGAGGTCACTTTGTAACCCAGGCTAGTCTCAAACTCAAATGAGCTTCCTGCCTCAGCCTCCTGAATGCTTGGATTATAGGGGTGTACCACCACACCCAGCCTTTCCACTTGCTTACCCATTGTATCAATATTACCTAAGTGACCAAACTTATTAGTTGTTCATAGTTTTGTCCTAGTATTT